CACACCCTAATTCTTGAAAGGCTTCCTCCTTCCTTGGCCAGGCCTCTTCCCTAGCCCTTTCTGCTTTTCTCTCTGTTTCTCTCTAATCTGCTCACCCTGAAATGCCGATGTGCCCTAGAAATCAGTTTTTGATCTTCTCATGTTATTCCACCTACATTCCCTGAGCTTTTTCATTCTTTTTCATGACTTCAGGTGCCACCCTAGGCTTCTTAATCTGTATTTCCAGACTAGTTTTCTCTTCTGAGCTTTGGATGTGCTTGTCCAGCTATCTACTGAGCACATGGAATAGGGAGGAGCAGTTCCCAAAAACGAAGTGACGCAGCTTCACCTTCCCACCCCTAATCCTGCCCTCACCCGTAAGTGTCATTGCCCACTGCAGGACAGGAGTCTGGAGAAGGACTCTCTGCCTTTGCTGGACCCTCAGTGCACAGTGCACACACCATCTAGAGAAGGCTAGCACCAAGGCTTTCCCTCTACACACGTCCAGCTTCAGGGCTTCATGAAGTTCCCCTCAGGAGCTCTCCTGGAGACAAGTAGAGTGTGAAGCAACCGAATGTCCAAGGTCTCCAAGGACCCAACAGGGAGTTGGGGCCAACCCCAGACAAGGCACCCAGATGTCCCTCGGGGCGGCCAACTCCACCTTGGCTCCTGCCGCAGGACAGCTGCTGGCCTCCGGCTTTGATGGCAGTCCTGCAGCTGAGAATAGGGGAGGCTGAGCTCTCTACAGCCTCTGCCTGTGATGTTCCCAAAAGAAAGAAGGGAGAAAGGGTAGACTCACCCACTCCATTCTCCCCCCTGCAGCTGCAGCCCCAGTACTCTGTCAAATGAATGATTCAAATAATTTTTCTGCTTATCATCTACTTTTAGCCTCCCAGAATTGGTCTGAATCCTTACCCCAGCATGCCCCCTGCTACCATCTGCTCCTTGCTCATTATGTTCTGCCTTCTTTCTGCTCCTTGGACACACCTCGATCTTTCTAGAGCTAGACCTTCCCATTTGCAATTTCCTCTGCTTGGAAAGTGCCCGCTGCAGCTCCTTCTACAGCCTGCTCCTCCTCTCAGCCTTAGGTCTCAGCTCACCTCCTAAGAGCACCTTTCCCCAGTGCCCTGGTCAACGGGGACTCTCACTCCTTCCCCGTAGCCACTCCCTGCCACATCTCCCCGACTATGGCACACATGCTGTCAGTGCTCTGCAGATATGTGATAAATGGACTGAACAGGAGAGGAGAACTATCACCCAAACATCATCAAACATGCCATTCGATGTACGGATTGTCCTTCGGTCTGCTGAGGAGGCCTTTCACTGACTTGGGCAAATCTAGTATGATGATAAGGCTGGCATGTTCCATCAGAGGTAAGGGACAGAAGTAGGGATTGACATCAACTCTTGCAACACAATCCCCATCCCGCATACACCAGGTATGAAAAACTATTTTCCCAGCTGAGAGAGAGGCTCCGTATCTCACTTGGCTGAGTCAGCTTCGTTGCAAACCTGATGCCATGATTTGGGGCTCCTTTGGATGATGTGGAAATGATCTCTAGGGGTATAAGGCTGTTGATGAATGCATCTATGTGTTTTCTATAAGGCTTATGTTCCCTCTGAGTATATGGGTGTTAACTGGGTGATTCTGAGACACCATTAATAAGCTCAAGTATGACCGAAGGTTCACCTCTCAGGAGGTCATCATTTTCTCTCTCTCTGGAAGCATTCTCTTTGTGATCACAGAAGACCTCCAAGGCTGCGTGGGAAAGAAGGGCTAGCTGGCTCACTGGCACTGAGGGAAACTGGCCCCCATCAGTAAAAAAACTTTATGTTGCATATTGTAAAACTGAAAAACTCTCAGGGAATATGGTGACTTCTTCTTTTAGAAATATGTGAAACAAGGCAAATGTCCATTGACAGATGAATAAACAAAATGTGGTACACACATACAGTGGAACACTAGTCAGCCTTCAAAAAGGAATGGCATTTTGACACATACTACAGCATGGGCAAACTTTAAAGATATTATGCTAAGAAAAACAAGGCAGACACAAAAGAACAAATATACAATTCCACTTATGTGAGGTGCTTGGAATAGCCAAATTCATAGAGACAGAAAGTAGAACAGTGGTTACCAGGGGCCAGGGGAGTGACGAAAGGGGCCTACTGTTGAATGGGTACCAGTTTTCAGGTGGGGATGATGGACAAGCTCGGGAGAGCGACGGTGGGGCTGGTAGCATAACCATACAACTGAACTTAATCCTACTGAGTTATAAACTTTAAAATGGTTAAGATGATAAATTTTATATTAATGTGTATTTTACCACACTATAAATATATGTCTGAATCTCTTTTCAAATGTATCTTTTACTTGTCTATTGTTACTTCAACATTTTTTCAGAAATTGTACTTGAATTGCTTTTTAAATGTGCTATGTATTTGTTTACTTCAGGTGCCAGTTGGTCCCAAACAATCTCAGGAAAAGGGAGGGGTGTGTACGTGTGTGTTTGTGTGCTGGTGTGTGAGGAGATCTAGGTTCTACCAGGGGTATAAAAAGAACAGGCCAAACTGAGGTGTTAAAAAATGAGGTGGAGAGGTCACCCAGCTGCTGGCTGATGTTTCTTCCACATGGAGATTTTGTAGAAAATTGAAAATGTCCTATTTCATAAAATTCAAAATCTAAAGCACAAATGTACCTATGTACCCAACCTGGTGAGGTTCAAGTGAAAAAGTTTGGGTTAAAGTAGGTGTATGAGCATTTGTCACCCATATGATTGTGGAAGTGAATTCATTCATTCCAGAAATACTTAAGAGCACATGATGTACCAGGCACTGGAGACAGAAACTGAGTTAAGCATAACTCCTCAAATTCCTATAAGAGGGAATGCTACATAATTTATGGGGTCTGCTGTAAAATTAAAATGCATGACCCGTTAGAAAATTACAAGGTCAGAACAGCAGGGCATTAAGCCAAGCACAGGGTCTTCTAAGTGCAAGAGTGGAAAGTTGCGAAGGGCCGGCTGGGCACCTGCACAAATGCTCCGATCAGTCTGTGGACAGCAGGGGCACAGCTGGGCCCTGAGCAACAGGGGCTTCCCAGTGCCACGTCTAAGTAACTCTCTTACCACCGATTTGAACACCTGCCTATAGCACAGTTCAATAAACACTCTTGTGCTAATATCTCCCATTCAATCAGATTATAATGTCATATTCCACTTTTAGATCTCCCAACTCTACCCATCCCTAACAGGCAGTAGCATGCTGGGTAAATAATAGGTACTCAAAATAGACCTTTTAAAATGTCCGCCATTTGATTCTAGAGTAAAAATTGGGAAGAACAGGCTGATTAGGGAAACTGATTTTCTGCTAGGATAAGGATGATGAGGATGGTGATTTATACCTCCTATAAACTATAAAGACACTGAGTTAGTATTTAATAGAAACTTCTAATTTAATCTCATAAATGAACTTATAAAATAGGTCATTTTGCCGCCATTTTAGAGATGAGAAACTGAGGTTGAGAGAGATGAAGGAACTTGCTAAAGGTCATACAGGCCAGTGGTCAGTGATGGAACAGAGTCACACCTAACTTCAAAGCCCTTGAAATTCTCACTGAATTGCTGGGCCCTGGCCCCTCCCCCATGTCACTATGTTTCCCAAAATCTGATGAAAAGAACAGAATCTGATGAAACAGAAAATTGCAGAGCCCTAGTTTTCCATCTTAATGCCATTTGGAAATGGGTATTATAATTTCTGAAGATAGAAGAGAAAATATTCAGGAAGGTAATATTTCACTGCACACAATAGGAAAAGTACCTGCTCTAACTCCAGATCAATTCAATTACTATTTACCGAGCAGCTGCTAAGGGTAAGACATCATGCCAGAGGCTGCGGGGGACACAAGACGAACAGACAGAGAAACTGCTGTCAAAGAGAAGGTTAAGACAAGCACACAAATGGGCAGAGAACAGAACAGAAAATGGTGCTTCCACATCAACACAAAGAAAGTGTGCTTGCCTAGAGGATAGGGTAGGCTTTTGGATGAAGGTGGCATTTACGGTTGGCCTCAAAAGATGGGCAGGTGTTTGAAAGGAAAAGCACTGGGACTGACGAGGCAGAGGAGCAGAGGTGGCTCGGTGCATGTTTGGAGAGAGATGCAGCCTTACCTCTGAGCTGGGGAGGCTGAGAAAGTTAAGTCAGGACAGCCTGAAGGTGGGGCTTGGACCAACACTGGGGCACTTGTAGCCCATTCAAACAGGCGAGCCTCCCACAAGCTTTAACAAGACAAACATGATTAAAATGGGGCACCAGGAGATTGAAGCTGGCGGCTGAGAGCAAAGATCCGAGGCCAAATCAGGTGAGAGACGGCAATGGCCTGAAGTTGGGTGGGCTAAGGGGTTGTTTTTAGAGACTTACAAGATATTTTCTCATTTTAAAAAAACTTTGAAATGGAGATCACATATATGCAAAATACCCCTTTGTTCTATGGAGTTTCTGGAAGGAAGACAAATTCAAGATACCATCGCTACCATTCAGCCTAAGGATATTTGCCTACAGTTCTTGTTGGCTCCTGTGGGATCCGGCTTTCTTGACTGCCCGGCAGCAGCCCGTCCTGGTCCTGTCAAGAGAACAGCTGCTGCACCACAAGGCGGAACACACCATGGTAAACCTCTGCACTTAATGTGGCTTCTTCTGGAACATTCCACCCTGCTTGGGCAAGTGGACAGCTTAATGTTGGGTGGAAAATCAGATCAGCTAAACCTGCCAGTCAAGCCTGCTTCTGAGACCTTTGGCTTTTCAGGCCGTGAAACCAGCCCACCAGAGCATACTAGGCCAGGACATTTTCTTAAGACCCTGAGGTCCCAGGAGAAGGCCCTTTCCTTGGCCTCCTATGGTGCTCCTTATAACTGGAGGTATGTCATTATAGGAGACAGCGCAGTGACAATTCACAGGAAGTTGGGGGCCAAGGAGAAGAAAAGGCAGAGAAAAATATGACCCATCGGGATAGCCAAGAGTAATTTAAATGTTTTGTCTGTGAAATGCTAGCAAATTGGAAAACACCACACTGGTCAGGAAAGCACGTGGAGCCCCGGATGCTGTGGTTTTCACCCGCCTGATGCGCTGATGCGCTCTGGAGCTGTGGTGACCCCGGAGCAGTGCCTGCAGTGAAGGACGGCAAAGCAGCCCATCTATCACCTCTGAGAAGGGAAGATGCAGTAAGTTCGGGAAAAACAACACTTCAAAACGTCAGCCTTTACTTAAGGCTGCCTAATGCTTTCAGGAGAAGGCACAGGGGAAAACAGCAAAAATAGCCAGTGGGCGCTGGCTGCAGGGGACTGACAGAAGCGATTTGAGTCAACAGACACTGATGTGTCCCAGCTAGTCAGCTTCTTGATGCAAGAAAAGAGATTGGGGTGAGGGTGGGGAATGGCAAATAGAGATGGTGTGGTTGATTCAGAGGTCTACACTGGCTTTCTTTGTCTGGGTGTCTACCTGGGCTGCTAAATCACTTCCTGAACTGGAGGGTCCATTGGGAGAAAAGCTTACTTGCCCTGCTTCTCATGAGCCCTACAGGACAGAGTCCCCTCCCTCCCTCCCCGCTCAGGAAGATTGTGGGAGGAAGCCTTCTGGCCCTTCTTTCTAGTCTTCCCTGGGAAAATGGGCAGAGGGCATGAAGTGGATCTGGCTCAGCACCCCCAGCCTGCCCACAGGCGCCGTTCTTCCCACCTCCAGTCCACAGAGTCCCGCTCTCCAGGCCCCTGCTGCTTACCCCGTGACAGTGTATGATTTGCTTCAGGGCAGAGAAGATCCTTCTTTTGGCTGTGGGTCCCAGCCAAGCTTTCAAAAGGCAAGAACCGATTCTTCCTGTGAAAAGGTTCACAGGATCTTTGATTCTCATGTGATCTCTCTCATTGATTGAGAATCTAGAGAGGAGGAGAAATGTGGTTCCTTAACACCCTCAAATCCCCAAACTGCAGAGAAAACCATTAAGTGAAGTGCCGAGCAGAAGTGATAGGAACATTTCCCTCATTTCCCTTGCCTTGAGTTGCTAGTAAAGACGGAGATTAGAACTTAACACAGAGAACTACCTACTCTTGACAAAAACAGTCGTGCAGTATGGCAGGCCAGGAAGGCTGAAAAGGTATGCACGACTGGAATAGGAAAGCCCTGGTGTCCCATCTTTAGGAGCCGGAGCGCTGGCTCCTACCCCAGTGAGCTGTAAGCAGTGGTCCAGCCTGGCTTCCTTGTCTATCATACAGGGCTGCCCTGCCATTGCACTCATGGCCTAAGCAGGCCTGTACTTTCCCCAGAGGGACATGGTGCATCTGTGCCTTTTGTTTTCATCTGATTTATCTGGCTGGCCCAAGGGCCTCTTCAGGTCATCCTCTTGTGCAGACCCATCTGGCAGTCAGAACCCTCAGCTCTCAAAGGTGATGCAGAATATCACAGAGGCCAAGAGCTTACATGGGAGCCACAGGGGACCTCTGAGGATAGGTCTTTAATCTGAGGGCAAAAGTCACCAACCCTTCCTTGCTTCCCCTTATAAGGTTTCTGGGCCTTTCCTTTCATAATGTGCTACTTAATAGGGAAGGGTTGAAATTAAGATTGAAATATGTTGCAGTGAGGTGACCTGTATAAATCATAGTTTAAAAAAAACTTTCTATCAGGGATTGCCTATTGACTTAAAGGGGTTTAAAAAATCTATCAAGGGACAGGCATCTGGCTGTGGCTTTGTACTGATGGGATTGCCTCCTGAGGCCAGAGCCCTTAGGTTCTGAGGGGCAGCTCTGGAACCAGTTACATAACAGAGAGGAAAGGACATGCTGCACAGACCTGAATTCAAATCCAGTTCTGCCACTTACTAACTCAGTTCACCTTTGGGGACCTCAGTTTTCTTATCTGTAAAATGGGGATAATAGTATCTGTACCTCAGTCAGTTGTGGTTAGATTTAATGAATAACAGCCAATTTCTTCATACAATGTCTAGTATACAATAAGCATTCAAACACTATTGACTTTTATTATTGTGTCCTTAAAGAATTCTATCCCTTCGCTGTTAATACTCAGAACTGACAGTCAGTGTGGATTACCTGCCAGGTTGCTAGGCTACAGTGACTACAGAATGTCTCTGTATCTGATTTTAAGAGGGTCTGAAGATTATCTTGCAGCTGCATTTGCAGATTATGTAACAGAATAATGAGAAACAATAGCATATGGCCCTTACATGACTTGATCTTCATTTTTTGGGTACTTTATGAGGTGAAATGATGAAGATTATTAAGGGGACTAACATTCTTTACAGATACCTCATCTCAATCTCATGACAACCTTAAAGTAGAAATTCATAATTGCATTAGGATTAACACTAGTTGTTTTAACAAATTTACAGATATCTGTGCTTTAACATAGAAAAAGTTGATCCCTCACGTCAGCCTCTTCCAAGTAGTCCCAGGCAGGCGGCCTCTATGTCACAGAAGAATCCGGGCTTCTTCCGGCTAGGCCTCTGCCCTCCTTCACGATGTCAGAATTCTCTCCTTTCAGCTGTTGGCTGGGGAGGTGGTGGGAAAGTCACCCACTCCTAAAACACTCTGATCAGAGATAATTCCTTCCACTCACATTCCATTGGTGAAAATATGTCACATGCGGCCACAAGAGGACTGGGGACTGTAGGCACTGCCTGGGCAGCCACATGCCTATCCTGGGGGTGGGTGGCCAGCCAGCCACCTCTGCCACGAGAACTGTCCTTATTTATAGCTGGAGAGCTTAAGTAGCCAGCCCACAGGTAGAACCAACAGGGGACCCATGGAAGAACTTGCCTTTTTAATGATTACCTCCAGCTGCCTCTGACAGTGGCCACTGATGATGGGGGAAAGAAGAAGAAATAAGGCAATGGTTGCCCGGTTTCATCTCACCTCCAGCTATTTGTGGGCCCTTTCAGGACGGAGCACTTGAGTCCCACACATTCTCATTTCTGCCACATTTGTAGCTGATTTCCCAGGATGCAGGAAAACAGAACTGCAGAGCCCCACAATCTGTGGTGAAGGCATTGCACCCACCCATTTCTTCATGCCAAACTGATTTATTTTCACTCTGCCAGACAGGTGATTGGTTCTATTTATAAGTGTCTAGTCAGATGCTTCCTGTTATAACCTACGCTAGTGCTCCGGTGTTCTGTTCCTACAGTGCTCACTGGGGTGCTTTGCCCAGTTCCCCTGCACTGGGCCAGTGCATCCACCCCACAGCTGCTGTGGGGGTCTCGGCTGTGCCCTTCTTTGGGAACTGTTTTCAGCCAGTAGGGGCCTCCTCACTCAGAGCTGCTGGGGAGACGATGCTCTCCTTCCGTTCCAGGGGCGGTCTGTGCCAGTGACTGGCTGATACTGTGGGGGTTCAAGCCTGGTGCCCCTCCGTGATGTGCTAATTCCTTGGTGCTGTTCAGGCTCGAGAGCTCTCTTGGGGGTTAGGCTGAAGCTAGACTTCAGCTGAGCCCACATCTTTATCTTCATCTGTTCTAACTGGTTTCCCTAACTTCTTTACATCCTGACATCTCTCATATAATACCAATCTTTGTTTTTAGGGAACCAGCACTAAGACAGTACCTAACTAGGAAGTTCTTATTCTCCTAATCACAGGACTCCACCCTTAGAGGTTTTGGGAAAGGGCTGATCACTCTTTGCAACTATCTTGTAATTTGAAGACTTTTTAAATGCCTGCTTCTCTTCCATTTTCAATTCTCCAGTTAAATGATTCTAGCTCCATTAACCACTGTTCATGGTTTTATTTTTAATGTCAGCACCACTTCCCAGGACTTGAGAGTCTAGAATTGAATCCATTTGGCAGGAAATGGGATAATGGAAGGATAATTCCATTGTGCTTCATTACTACAGCTAACCGTAACAAAGATGAATGGTTTTATCATCTCAAGGACTTTCCCATGTTTATGTCATTTGGCTATAACTCTGCAGGAGGAGGTTCTATTTTTTTAAATGAGGAAACTTGAGTAAACAGAGGTTAAGTGGGTTACTTAAGTTCATGAAGCAAGCCAATGATAATGACCACAGCAAAGATCAGAAAGAGGGTTTCTGACCTCCAGACATGGCCTTGTTTTATGACCTTCACCCCTGCCCTGATCTATGTATGACTTCTTGTATGGATCATTTTATGATGCTGCTGTCAGTGAGGAACTGTGTTTGGCCTGCAGTGAGAGAGACCTCAAAGTGGTGGTTTGAACACCCAAGGCTTTATTCTTTCACAGAAAAAGATGTCTGGGAGCGAAGAAGCATTGGTCTATAGGCTGCTTCACAAAGTCACCAGAGACAGTTCTTTTATCTTTCTGGCCTGCTGTCTGAGTTATGACCCTCATTTTCTTGGTCCAAGATGGTTGCTGGAGACCTAGCCACCATAGGTGAGCTCCAGGCATCAGGACGGAGGAAGGAAAGAAGAGGGGCCTGCTCTTTCCCTTCAAGGAGGCTTCTGGGAAGTCCCTCACAGCACTTGTGTTCACTTCTCATTGGCTAGAATGAGAAGTGAACATGGCCTTGCCTAGAGGTTAATGGAACTTAAACCTCAAAGCAGTTCGTTGCTAAGGTCTCTTCCAAATGCTAACGTCTAACTTTGTGTTATTTTCAATCATCATCAGAAACAATTTACTGAGCCATTACCATGTGCAAGCCACTCTCCTGGGCATAGGAAGATGGGCAGAAGCAGGGATGGGTGTAGGGGAGTATCGCAAGGGGTCCTTGGCACAGCGCTCAGGGACTCTGATGTGCTCCTCCGGGCAGCTGTGCCCTGCCTCCTCTTCTCTCCGCCCTTGTGCTGATGCACTGGCGGTAATGAGCTGTTACTGTCAGAGATTGTTATGCCTGTGTAGAGGCAGAAAGCAGGAGGGACAGTCACTGATCTGATCTAGGAGGGTGTTTCACCCACAGCTGGTGTATTTTAGAAAACAGGTGTATTCTACTTGTTTAGTTGTGCCCCCTTATTTCTGGAAAGGAAAAAAATAGCGTCTTCTCCACCATGATTAAACAAAGGTAAAGATGGTAAATGAAAGTTCAGAAGGGAGATCCTAGGTGGAAGAAGGTTGTAGCATCTTAGCACAAAACTTAGCTCTCAGCAATTTGGCTGCCTTCATTAAAAAGGAAGGCTACAAGGACCCGTGAGTGTGGCTGTTCAGTGAGAGAGGCATGGCCGTTCAGGGGGAGGCACGGGCGCTTCCCTT